TTTTTACTTGAATTCTATTAACTTTACCGAAAAATATTAAGAGATAAAAATTGCTTATTTTGTTTTCAAAGAGCTCTGAGAATTTTTTCAGAATTTTATGTTAACTTTTTAGTACTTCAAGAAAATGCAAGAAAAAATGCAGTACTAAAAAATTAATATAAAATTCTGAAAAAATTCTCAGAGCTCTATGAGAACAAAATAAATAATTTTTATCTCTTAATATTTTTCGGTAAAGTTGATAGAATTCAAGTAAAAAATTATTGAAACCAATAATTTTGTAGATATTTACGTAAATATCTTAGAAAATAGAGGTCGTATAAAAACGTTTTTCAAACAAAAGTTGTTTGCTTTTTCAGAATAAAATGCCGTAATAAAAAATATGTATTTCTATCTAAAAAAGCAAAGTTGACCTTGTCCTGACCTTGGCGACGTCATCTTAGGTCAAATAACTACTGTCATTAAATGCGACTTTTTAAGCCTTACAACTTTTATTGGAAACATTTTTCTCTAAAATTCCCCGCCGAGTTTTCTTGCCGTTGCCGAACTTATGGGACACACTGTATATATATATATTGTGACGTGGCGGCCCCGAAAGGCGCCCGTCACAAGGCGTGGCTCCGCTCGGATCATATTGTTTTGGTGCGTTTTGCGTCTCGGGTCGCGAGGATAGGAAGCGAGGCCGGAAGGCATTTAAAAGGAAGGGAAGGACCCTCGAAGAAAGTTTGCGAATTAGTCGAGATGGTTGTCTAGTCCCCGCGTCCTTAAAAAAGTGTACCCCAAAGCTCCCCGCACTAACCAGGAGGAAGGAAGGGCAGCAGGACGACGAGGGACGCAAAGGACCTATGCCACCGCTCTCGCCGGTCGTCATAGAAGAAGGCACTCGGGTAAGAAACTTAAACTCTCGCTCTCTATAACACATTGTGGCCGTTCCGATTTCGGTTTTCCGCTGCCGTGTTTATCCTTACAGCTTGCTGAGTGACGCGTCAACGAAGGGCGAGAGGAAAGAGAGGATACATACCCGGGCCGAGCGAGACGCCAGAGGAAAACAGCTGACGACCAACAGGATAAACACGAACAGGTGAGGTGCCGCGTGAACAACAACACGCGGGCACCGATTACCGTAACGAGAAAGAGAGAGAGAGAGGGAGAGAGAGAGAAGGAGAAAGAGAGAGAATCATCAGGACAGAGAAAAGACTGGCGATCAAGGAGACGAGAGCTTCTTCTTTCTTTTGCGCCAAAGACGCGACACGTTGATCGTGGCCGAGGTACCGCTTACCGATTGCCGTTCTCGCGAACACTAAAGAGTCGATCCGCGTGCCCGAGGGACGACCGGCGGTGACCAAGTGGAGGACGTAGCGACACTCTGCATTGCCGCCAGCGGAGACGACCGCCGACGAGGGTCATTGATAGACATCACCCGGGTCATACCGAGCGGGGGAGCACCGAATCTGTAAGGCTGACCATTCGTCTTGACTTACACCGTAGTGTCGTCTCGTCCCGTCTTGTCCGAGTAGTGGTAGTCGCATACCGTTCCGCGAAAATTGTATCGGTCGTGGCTAAATACTCCCGGTTATCGCGCTCATCGGTGATATCATTTGACCATACCGGGACGCGCGGGTCTCGAAGAAATAAAGAGTAATTACACCAACGAACCCCTTGGGTTGGTAACGAACCTTACCCTATACCCACCCCACTTCCGACTCAAACTAAAAGTGAGCTACCGGTCCCGTTAAGTTCCCGCGATAGCGACGACGAACTATATTTGGAGATTTTGGCGAATACTGATTAGTGAGGAGGTGCGGCCTTACCGCACCTGGCGCCCAACTTGAGTTAGTGAGTTCGTATCGAGATCCGGGGACTGCGGTAATTTGCCGACGAAGCAGACAGGCGACTGCCCGCTAGTATCGATAAGAAAGTCATCGCAATATATATATATATATATATATATATATATATATATATATATATTATCTCATTATTATATATTATAATATATATTATTTTTATAGTTTTATCCTAAAAGAAGAATTGGTTCAAATGGAAATCGAAGAATCAAATATAAATGCAGTGAATAAAATTGTTCCCGCTCCCACTGCTGCTCCAGCTCCTGTTCCCGGTGGCCCTCCAGCTTCCGTTCCTGCTGGCCCTCCAGCTCTCGCTCCTGCTGGTCCTCTAGCTCCCGCTGTCGCTGCCGCTCTTGCACCGGCTTTTGCCCATTTACAAGGTATTTTATCATTATCTGTACTATTCGGATAATTTTCGAATCCGAATTAGTTTAAGCCATATTACACTACGCATTGCGGATGCGAGCTAGATTTTAATTGTAAATTGCAAATCGTTAACTAGCTAGTTTAACTGAAATAGTCAGATTTATTGGCTAGTTAACGATTCGCAGCTCGTAATTTGAGTTCAATCCGCATCCGTAATGTGTAAAATGTAGCGCCGGCTTTAAATTTATAAACTCGGTTCTAAATTTATATTTATTAATAAATTCGAATAATATTGTATATCTAAAATACATGTATTTATAATATATAGGACAAAGAAGACGTGGCACAAGAGCGGGAGCAAGAATCCAGCAGGAGCGGTTTATGGAATTTCTACATAAAATGTCGTCCGCTCACTATAATTGGGGACTGAGGAGAAGTCGTAAATATTGATCAAAAATAAATGATAAAGAAAACAAAAATGTAATTAAAAAAAAATAAACTATTTTAATCTAAAATTCTTCCTGAAACCTTTTATTAGAAAGAGAGAGAGAGGGAGAAAGAGGCTGATGGGGAAGGAAGGAGGGTGGGAGGGGGGGAGAGAGAGAAACGGAGACAGAGATATTTATTCTCTCTCTCTCTCTCTCTTTCACCCTCTCTCCCTCCCTCCTTCCCTTTCAATGTGTCACTGTCTTTCTGTCTCTCTCTCCCTCTCTCTCTGTCTTTCTTTCTCCTTCTACCTTATTATTATTTATTTTTAATTATTTATTATTTATATTTCGTCTATGTACAGCCTATTTCATTTATTAAAACAATACAGGTGCACACTATTTAACTAATAAAAAATAATAAAAAATAATAAATAAAATAAGTAATATTACATCAATATATATGGGACGATCCGCGTCAACCGGATCACCTCTGTGTCCAAAATTTGGTGCAACGCACAGAGACGTGTGACGGCTTAAAAAATTTGTCTATACGAGTACTTTCAAAGGCCATGTGGCCCGTTTGTAAAATCAAAATGGCTGCGCTAATATGGCGCCGGAAAATGCAAAAAACCGCATGAATTTCCAGATATCTTCACGTTATTAGCTGAGTAATAAACGAGTCAGCCTCGAATCGACACTCTGAGGGGTATTCGATACCGCTGATCACGAATCTAGAGTCAGATTGTACAAATTCGATATGGCAGATCCAATATGGCGTCTAAGAATGCGGAAAGTTGTCTAAAT